CCAGGGTCCTGGGCACTAGCCCAAGGCCAACTGTGGCTTCTCAAAGGACAGGTCTTGGTTGCTGTCCAGGGAGGGTGGGGTTCAGTCCTTCACCACGTCAGCAGCCACATTGCAGGAGTCCTGTCCACACTGGCTGCCACCCACGCTGGGCAGCACTGACGGCCAGTGCTGCTGTGAGGGTAACCTGTCTGAGACGGGACAGTCGGCCAGCCAGCGCAAGGTCTGGTGGTGCCTAAATCGCCTATTATTTTTGTTGTTTTATATTTTTATTAGTAGTTATTTACAGTTTTGATAAAATTAAGTTCTTATTTAAACACATGTATAGTTGTGTGCAACAAACAATTACCCTGAGCTGTTTGGGCCAATGTGCAGTAAGTCTGAGGCATTTGACCTCTGGTGAGCTCTAGTTCATGGTGTCAAGACAGGCAAGGGTCAGACCCAGGGTCACTTTCATTGTGGCCACGTGGGACCACGTGGGTCCACGTCTTTATCATATCAGTGGGGTCGCTACCTGCAAATCCCACTGCCCAAATCCAGTTTGAGGCTATTCAGGCAGTATGCTGGGAGCATTCCTGTGTGAAATGTAGATGCACGTGTGCAAGAGTCCTTAGGGCAAGCACCCAGGGGTGGGCTGCTTGGTCCATGCAGGCCACAGGGGATAAAGCCAGCTGCCACCCTGGGAGGTGGGACCAACCTCACACCAGTGCTCTCTGCACAGCCTAGTCAGGCCCCCGTGTGCGTTTCCTGGGTGCTCACTGATGATGGTGAGCGGGTGCAACATGCTTACTTGGCTTTCTCCTGAAGTGCCTGTCCACATGCTCTTCACGCCTGGAGCAGGTTGGCAGCCTTTTCTGTAAGGACCAGGCAGCAAGCCACAGCTTGGTTGCCACACCATGTTGAAACACCTCCGCTCCAAAGCAGACAGGACACAAGTGTGGTCACTGGGATCATGAGCATTTTCTGCTGCGATGTGGCTCTCTGCTTAGGTGTTTCGATAGTTGATGTCCATGTCTTTACAAGTTGGTTTTACTAGCGTTCCCTTCTTTTCTGTTTTATTGCCTCTTCCTTGCCAAGGTTGTGAGACCCTCCCCCAATATCTTCTAAAGGTGTAAAATTGCACCTTTACATTGGTCTTCACCCATCTGGATTTGACTGTTTGGGGGTGAGGATGGGGCAGATGCTTGGTATAAGGTAAGAGTTTTATTTTCCTCAATTCCACCATTAGGAATGATTTTTGCTATAGTTTTTAAACTGTAAAACACCCTTTTCTTGGAGGTACAGTTGTCACACCCTGAAACTCAGTTTTACTTTGCAGTTGGTGTCCTTTGGCCAATGTCTGGTCATGTGACCATGCCCCAGTCCTGACCCAGATCCCTTGGTCCCTTGGAGTCCCCGGTGCCTCCTCGCCAGTCTCTGTGTGGCACCCGAGCTGCTTCTCTGGACTGTGTCCAGGCACATGCATGGCAAGGACTGCACGTCAGGCTCCTCTCCAGCTCAGAGCGCTTGTCCCTTGTCCCCTGCACTACTGAGTGACAATGGCTGCTTGTCTCCTACCAGCTGTTGGTAACCCGTCTCTATGTGGCTCTGGTGGAAGCAGCTTCTCTTAAATGGAGAGCTTTTATTAGGTTAAAGACGTCTCCTTCTATTCTTAATTTCCTAAGTGTTTTTAAAATCAGGAATGGAGCCCTGGCTGGTGTGCTCAGTGGTTAGAGCATCAGCCCACTCACTGAAGGGTCACGGGTTCGATTCCCAGTCAAGAGCATATACCTGGGTTGCAGGCTCTATCCCTGGCTTCAGTGTGGCACATGCAGGAGGCAACCCATCAATGTCTCTCACATTGATGTTTCTCTCTCCCCTGCCCCCCCCTTCCTTTCACTCTCTAAAAATCAGTGGAAAAAATATCGTGCAGTGAGGATTAATGAAAAAACAAAAAAAATCTGGAATGGATAATGAATGTCATCAAGTGATTTTGTATGCATTTAGGGGGTGATCTTATCAGTTTTCTCCTTTTTTGTCACAAATTATATTTATTTCACTAACCCCCTTGTGCTCTAGGGATAAACCTAGCTTGATGAGCAGGGCTGCTGTCACAAGCTGGACATGTGCCTGTCCGCGGTTCTCACACTGTCCACGGTTCTCTCACTGTCCACGGTTCTCTCACTGTCCACAGTTCTCACATTCTGTCCATGGTTCTCACATTCCGTCCACAGTTCTCTCACTGTCCACAGTTCTCACACTCTTCCATGGTTCTCACACTGTCCACAGTTCTCTCACTGTCCACAGTTCTCACACTCTGTCCACGGTTCTCTCACTGTCTATGGTCCTCACACTCTGTCCACGGTTCTCTCACTGTCCCCATTTCTCACACTCTGTCCACAGTTCTCTCACTGTCCACAGTTCTCACACTCTGTCCATGGTTCTCTCACTGTCCACGGTTCTCTAACTGTCCATAGTTCTGACACTCTGTCCACAGTTCTCACACTCTGTCCATAGTTCTCACACTCTGTCCACAATTCTCTCACTGTCCACGGTTCTCACACTATCCACGGTTCTCTCACTCTGTCCACGGTTCTCTCACTGTCCACGGTTCTCACACACTGTCCACGGTTCTCTCACTGTTTACAGTTCTCTCACTGTCCACGGTTCTCACACTGTCCACGGTTCTCACACTCTGTCCACGGTTCTCACACTCTGTCCACGGTTCTCTCACTGTTTACGGTTCTCTCACTGTTTACGGTTCTCTCACTGTCCACGGTTCTCACACTGTCCACGGTTCTCTCACTGTCCACGGTTCTCACACTCTATCCACAGTTCTCACAGTGTCCACGGTTCTCACACTTTCCATCAGTGAGCTTGGTCTATGATTCCCATCTCAGTCTAGTCCAGTGTGCATGCTACAATAGCTTTGTAAAATGAGTTGGGAAATACTGTCTTCATTGCTTCTCCGAGAGAGTTGTTTGAGATGGGGCCCGTCCCTCAATGGTTTACAGCCGATTCTAATGTTATTTTTCTAGGAATGTATCAGTTTCATACAAATTTGCAACTTTATTGGCATAAAGTTGTCCATGATACTTTGCTATTTCTCACGTGCCACTTTCTCAGGGAAGCGCTCATCCAGCACCTGCCCTGGCCTGCTCTTATTCACAACTCAGCCACCGTTACCTGCCCTCCGCATCTACCATCATTGCCTCTCCCCCATTAAAGTGAGGCCCCAGGTGCCTGTCTGTGTCCACTGCTGACAGAGCCGGCACTGTAACTGGCAAAGGAGCCACAGCCACACCAGCCCAATGGCCCTGGCTCCGGCCGCCGTCTTGCTGGGTAGGGGGGATGCGGCCAGCACAGCCTGTGGTATGGGTTCTGCAGGCCTGCTAATCTCCCTACAACTGCCTCTCTCCTGCCTCCCTCCCCTCTGCCATTTTGTAAAAGTTAATTGAGTTTCAAAGACTAGTGAATAAAAAATGCAGTCATGGAAAAACTCAGAGTAGAAATGATATAAATCAGATGTAACACGAACATCATGCAGGTATTTCTCCGGCCCATGGTTCCCAGGTTGTGTTTGTCCACTGTTGTTAAACCACAAGCATTCTTTGTGGCATTAGGGTCTTGACTTTACTTACATGGCCCTTCCAGAGCCTCATGCCACCAACCCACCACTGCCTTTTCTGCTGCCTCATGGCTGACCCCTCCTGTGTGACTCCTGAGCCTTCCAGGGGCCCCTCCCTGGTCCCAAATAAAGAGTGTGCTTGTTGGAGTGTCTCTTGTCCATCTCCCACCAGAACTGCACACCCTTGCCCCTGCTGTGGCCCAGATCCCAACTTGGAGCCTGCTTGGAGGGGCCCCTGGTGCGTGTTCCCTGGGCGGGTGGCCCTAAGAGACACCCCTGCTCTTTACACAGAAGTTTAATACAGCCATCCTTCCATGAGGCCCGCCTGCCACCGGGGCACCCCTGACACTCATCACCTGCTCCGGAGCTTTCACAGACCCTTGTTGTGCCTCCTGGGGCCCCTCCCACAGCTGCTCCCCATGGGTACCCTCACCTCCTCACCCCAGCAGCTCCTGGTCTCAGTGACACCAGCTGCCACAGAGACCTACCTGGGTCTCTCTGGTCAACCCTGGCTCTTTGGGGTCATTAATTCTTGTGTTCCTTTTGGTTTTAAGCAGGTAAAGGAACAGGCATGTTAACTGAGCAAGGCCAGAGCCCCTCCCTGGTGGGGACATGGGCTCCAGCAGCACCTGTGGGTGACATCTCCCTGTCTTTTGTCTCCATAGGCCTCAGAATGTAGCAGAGGGTCCCCAGCTGCCACGTCCAGGTAAGTGCAGCTTACACTTTGGTTATTCCTTTGCAGTGCATGCGAATGGACTGACTTTGCATTGAACTGCTCTTGGTGAGTGTGGTAGCTGTAGAAAAGCCGGCTCCTTGGGACTCCTTTACAGTGAGGTTTCCAAGAGCTGCGGAGGGATTGGCCCGGTTGTTCATAAAGTTTATGTATTCTCTGGGTTAGTGTTTTTGGTTGACTCTGTCCGACTGTGGGCTTCATGGGACTTGCCTAAAAATTCTAGTGTGCACTGAGTACAGGAGTGTGTGCGTCACACAAGAGCTGTGAACTGACAGGTGTGTCTCGTGCCAGAAAATGGAAAAGGAGCAAAGGACGAAGGGAAGGCACAGAGCTGACCACGCGGAGTGCGGGGCGACGCGGCTGCCCAGACGCCACAGCACCCCAGCCGAGGCCTGAGCCCATGCAGAGGCGGAGGGAGTGGACCGGAGGTGTCTAGAGGAGGTGACCTGGGGCCAGCGCTCACAGGGGAGTGGCATCGCGGGGAGGAGGGGGGTGCACAGGGGAATGGCATCGCGGGGGGTCAGCACTCACAGGGGATGGCATTGCGGGGGGGTGCTCACAGGGGATGGCATCGCGGGGGGGGCGCTCACAGGGGAATGAGGTTTGCTTGCTGCCGGGGTTTCCCGCCTCCACCCTGGAGGGCACCTGTGAGAGGTGCAGTGAGGAGGGCGTGTGGGGTGGGCACAGGACTGCAGCCTGGAGCCTCGGCCCTGGTCTAGGAGGACAGGCCCAGCAGGTGTCAGGTGTGAGGCGTTCAGGCTGCCCTGGCACATCTGCCACACTGGTGGTGACGGTGGCCTTTGTACTTCCCAAGAGCAGCTCCTCACAGCCTGAGGACAGGAGTATGGCCAGGACAGGTCGGTTTCATCTCCAGATGCCATGGTCAGTGGGCACAGGGCCTCCTCTCCAGGCTGGCCTGGGCTGCCCTCAGCCGGGTGCTGCATCAGGCCCCTGTTCCTCCCTCAGTCTTTCCTTGCCTTTTATGCCCCTGCCGGTTGAGAGAGACCGCCCTCACTTGCACCTGGCCTATTTCCTGGCAGTGAGGCTTGGCTGTGGACTTTCAGCAGGAGACCTCTCACAGGTACTGTGTCCTGTGGGGTGTGACATCAGGAGGCACACCTGCCATCCTGGTCCACGTGGGTGTCGGCTGGTCACTCAGTGAGTAGTGTCTGTGGGCTCTTCCACCCCAGACCCCTCTCTGCCTTTGTGGCTGTTGGTGGGGGGGTGGGCACTTGGAGACTGAATCCTTTGCTCAACAAAGTCTCGCCACTGGCAGCACCCACTGTGCCTACCGAGGACTCCTGAACACTGTCCTTTCACTCCCTCTCGTGGTGATGAGCTGCTTCCTTCCACAGCACCAGCCCACACTCTCCCTTGAGGGCGCATGTCCCTTATTTGTCTCTGTGTCTCGGTGTAGACTCCTGGCTCCTGGGTTGTTCTTTAGATTATAATCCGATTCGTCAGATGCTGAGCTGGTCCCGGATGAGAGTCACTGTGTGTCCTCTCGCTTGGTCCCCTGTGCCTCTGAGCCCGGTGGGTGCTCCAGGTTTTGCTCCCTTCCTGCCTGGCCCTGGTTGGCTGATGGCCAAGCACCCTGGCTCCTCCTAGTGGACAGTGGTGGAGGCACACAGGGCCGGGCTGCACAGGGGAGGTCACTCCCAGAGGGAGCTGGGACAATGGGCTGGGCAGGTGCATACACCTGTGTCTTTGTACCACCCGCCCACGACATGAGTCCCACTGACCATGGTCTCCAGAAGAGATGAAGACGCCGCTCTCTCTGAAGAAGACTGGTCTCTGCTCCCAGCCATGGAGGCACAGACCCGCTCCCCGCTGAGGCCACAGGCCCGTCCCTGCCAGCGTGACTGCGGAGTTGGTTTCTGGCTCCCTCCCCCTGGTGGTTCAGTTATTTGGTGCTGGGAGACCCCTGTTGCCTAGTACACTGCTGTGAGATGGGAATACTTGCACGTGGCTGAGTACACCCTCATCTCAGTGGCTGGTGGGTGAACACCTCTTGACAGGAGAGGAAGACACAGCGCAGCACGCAGCTGGGCTGACAAAGGGACAGCGGGATCTGGGATTGGGTGGCGCCACAGAACATGTGCAAGTTGGCACCCCCCTGTGCTCTGCCTGGCTTTCTCTTCTTTCGGTGGCCTTGCACAGTGAGCCGCACACACTGTGACCACTGTGGGAGGGCACGCTGGCTGGCTGGCCCTCTCTGCCCACATTTGCTGTGCAGCCAGCGGCCCTTGGTGATGTCCTTGGCCCTTTAGGCCTTTGGCTGACAGCTCAGTCCCTGTTTCTGGTCTCTGTGCAAGATTCTGCTAGGGATGCTATACTCAGAGTGTTCGGTCAGTCAGGGTTCCTCGAGCCCTGCTCTGTGCGAAGTGTTTTGTGCCAGTTCCCACCTGCTGCTGCAGCAGATCACGTGAACCTAGTGGCTGTGCTAGAGGTCAGCATCCAGAAGGGGTCTCACGGCCAGGGTCAGGTGCTGACAGGCTGGCTCCTTCTGGGGGCTCTAGGGACAACCCAGTCCTTGTCTTCTCTGGCCTCTGGAGCACCCGCATCCCTGGCTCATGTCCCCACCTCAGGTCAGCAGTGCTGCACATCCCAGCCTCTTTCTGTGGCCCTCCCGCCTCCCCTGATAAGGACCCCGATCCACTGAGTGACCAAGGCCATCTCCCATCTCATGGACCTCTTGCCATGTGTGGTGACATGCAGGTTTGGGGTAGGACGTGGACAACTTCAGGCTCTTTTCCTGCTGGCTCAGGAGATGCAGTGACAGGCCCTGCCTCACAGAGCTTGTGTCTCAGCAGGAGAGACAGTTAAAGCTGCAGCCGCTCAGGGACAGGCACGCGGGGCAGCCCTCCCCCCAGGACACACCTGCCAGCACTGGGGTACACAGACATCTGTGTTGTGTGCTCCACTGGTGTCCCATAGGGTGAGTGACAGGGACAACAGTGCCCCCAGTCCTGGGCCAAGGGCTACTGCATCCCCAGTGGGGCAGGGTCCTGGGCTGCTTGGGTCCTGGTACTGAGGAGGGGGGGTCAGGAGCCCCTGCTGGTCAAATAAAAGAGTATCCTGGCTGCCTTCAGCAAGCTCTCTGTTGCCATGTTGAACAGTTGCAGTGAACATCTTTTGAGCTTGTTTGGTTATTATGACAGATTTCCAGAAATGGCACCACAGGCAGGCAGCCCTCTGACCACCTGCTTCCGATCTTTTCTAACATCAGTGACGCCTCCCGTGGCCTCATGTCAGCCACTCTGCTTCTCCATTTTGGGGGAGGGGCGGTGGCTTGGCTGCCCTCACTAGAGGGGCCTCCCCTCCCCTGTGGTCAGTCATCCCGTCGGCTTTAGCAGGAGCAGGCGGCTTCAGAAGATCCCCCCTCCGCTTCCCTCCCCAGGCCTAGTGTAGCCCCCACCTTGCTGCGCAGGTCTGGGCTCCAGCCCACTGGCTCCCCTCACCTGTGCCACCCACCAACTAGCCTCCCTTAGTCCTGTGCAGGGAGGGAGGGGACAGTGCTGGGCACTGGAGGGGGTGCAGCAATATGTTTGCAGGGTGCTGGCTACAAGTCCCAGGCCAAGTGCTGCCCCTCAGGTGCTTGGCGGGACAATCCCAGTCCCCCAGGAGACGAGCTGGATTGTCACCGTGCCCACAGATTAGAAGGTGGCCTGGCCCTGGCTCGGGTGTGGTGCCAGCCTCTGCCCTCTGCATGCTGAAGTCTCCTGGAGGGACAGCCTCTGACTTGGTTTACCTTGAACCTGAATCTTTGATGAAGCACACCAGGGCACTTCAGACATTAATTGATGTGCACTTTTCTCTTGCAGAAGCCAAAGATGTTGACCAGAAAGATTAAACTCTGGGACATAAACGCGCACATCACCTGCCGTCTGTGCAGCGGGTATCTCATCGACGCAACCACGGTGACCGAGTGTCTGCACACGTGTATGTGAGGATGTTCTAGAATGTGGCCTCTGACAGCCGTGTGTGTGTGTGCTGTCTGTCTGCACGTGTATGTCAGAGTATTCTAGAGTGTGGCCTCTGACAGCCGTGTGTGTGTGTGCTGTCTGTCTGCACGTGTATGTCAGAGTATTCTAGAGTGTGGCCTCTGACAGCCGTGTGTGTGTGTGCTGTCTGTCTGCACGTGTATGTCAGAGTATTCTAGAGTGTGGCCTCTGACAGCCGTGTGTGTGTGTGCTGTCTGTCTGCACGTGTATGTCAGAGTATTCTAGAGTGTGGCCTCTGACAGCCGTGTGTGTGTGTGCTGTCTGTCTGCACGTGTATGTCAGAGTATTCTAGAGTGTGGCCTCTGACAGCCGTGTGTGTGTGTGCTGTCTGTCTGCACGTGTATGTCAGAGTATTCTAGAGTGTGGCCTCTGACAGCCGTGTGTGTGTGTGCTGTCTGTCTGCACGTGTATGTCAGAGTATTCTAGAGTGTGGCCTCTGACAGCCGTGTGTGTGTGTGCTGTCTGTCTGCACGTGTATGTCAGAGTATTCTAGAGTGTGGCCTCTGACAGCCGTGTGTGTGTGTGCTGTCTGTCTGCACGTGTATGTCAGAGTATTCTAGAGTGTGGCCTCTGACAGCCGTGTGTGTGTGTGCTGTCTGTCTGCACGTGTATGTCAGAGTATTCTAGAGTGTGGCCTCTGACAGCCGTGTGTGTGTGTGCTGTCTGTCTGCACGTGTATGTCAGAGTATTCTAGAGTGTGGCCTCTGACAGCCGTGTGTGTGTGTGCTGTCTGTCTGCACGTGTATGTCAGAGTATTCTAGAGTGTGGCCTCTGACAGCCGTGTGTGTGTGTGCTGTCTGTCTGCACGTGTATGTCAGAGTATTCTAGAGTGTGGCCTCTGACAGCCGTGTGTGTGTGTGCTGTCTGTCTGCACGTGTATGTCAGAGTATTCTAGAGTGTGGCCTCTGACAGCCGTGTGTGTGTGTGCTGTCTGTCTGCACGTGTATGTCAGAGTATTCTAGAGTGTGGCCTCTGACAGCCGTGTGTGTGTGTGCTGTCTGTCTGCACGTGTATGTCAGAGTATTCTAGAGTGTGGCCTCTGACAGCCGTGTGTGTGTGTGCTGTCTGTCTGCACGTGTATGTCAGAGTATTCTAGAGTGTGGCCTCTGACAGCCGTGTGTGTGTGTGCTGTCTGTCTGCACGTGTATGTCAGAGTATTCTAGAGTGTGGCCTCTGACAGCCGTGTGTGTGTGTGCTGTCTGTCTGCACGTGTATGTCAGAGTATTCTAGAGTGTGGCCTCTGACAGCCGTGTGTGTGTGTGCTGTCTGTCTGCACGTGTATGTCAGAGTATTCTAGAGTGTGGCCTCTGACAGCCGTGTGTGTGTGTGCTGTCTGTCTGCACGTGTATGTCAGAGTATTCTAGAGTGTGGCCTCTGACAGCCGTGTGTGTGTGTGCTGTCTGTCTGCACGTGTATGTCAGAGTATTCTAGAGTGTGGCCTCTGACAGCCGTGTGTGTGTGTGCTGTCTGTCTGCACGTGTATGTCAGAGTATTCTAGAGTGTGGCCTCTGACAGCCGTGTGTGTGTGTGCTGTCTGTCTGCACGTGTATGTCAGAGTATTCTAGAGTGTGGCCTCTGACAGCCGTGTGTGTGTGTGCTGTCTGTCTGCACGTGTATGTCAGAGTATTCTAGAGTGTGGCCTCTGACAGCCGTGTGTGTGTGTGCTGTCTGTCTGCACGTGTATGTCAGAGTATTCTAGAGTGTGGCCTCTGACAGCCGTGTGTGTGTGTGCTGTCTGTCTGCACGTGTATGTCAGAGTATTCTAGAGTGTGGCCTCTGACAGCCGTGTGTGTGTGTGCTGTCTGTCTGCACGTGTATGTCAGAGTATTCTAGAGTGTGGCCTCTGACAGCTGTGTGTGTGTGTGCTGTCTGTCTGCACGTGTATGTCAGAGTATTCTAGGGTGTGGCCTCTGACAGCCGTGTGCGTGTGTGCTGTCTGTCTGCACACATGTATGTGTGGAATGTTCTAGAACATGGCCTTTGACGGTTTCTAGCCATCTGCTCTTTGCTACTTTGGTTTTTGTTTTTTTGTTTTACAGAAAACTTTTAGCTTAGGCACAAGGCATGACACAGAAGCAGGAATAAAAAAGATCTTGAAGATAAATCAGAGAAATTATTTCAAATTAAAAATACTGTGGGTAATTTCAGTGGAGAGATCATTTAAGAAAGCTAAGTCCGTGAAAATTTGGTATCTGCATATAATAGCCAACTGGTAACTGTCGTGACAGAGCATTATTTCCAGTGGCAGAAATGCTTGTTTCTATAAACTTACACACGGAGGGACCTGGTGGTCAATGCCTTCTGGGTTTTGATTTTTAGAAGGCACTTGGCTTGCGCTGAACTTGGATATTTTTAAGCACAGCCTCAACAGAAAAGGAGACGTCGTGGTTTACCTTGAAAGGAGTGGTCAAGGACATTGAGAGAAGCACTTTCTCTAGACAGGATCTTTAAACTACAATGAATCCCTGTAATACCTGTCATTTTTTTGGTTGATTTTAGAGTGAGGAAGAGAGAGAAACATCGATTGGCTGCCTCCTGTATCCACCCCAGCCGGGGACCAAGCCCTAACCTCTAGTATGGCGCTCCAGCCAGCCAGGCCCGGGCCCGGCCCTGTGATTCTTTGATCCTGTGTTTTTCACTTTAGAAAATAAAATATTTCCCAATTTTAATAGAATTTTTAAGTACAAGTTAATTGTATTTTTAGATAATGCGGGGGGGGTGCATCATTTATGTTATTTTCACTGAATTTTTGGTGCACAAAGAAAATCCTGTGATCTGCCAGGCATCCCACAGCCCTCTTGACTGGTAGCCCCCGAGGTGAGACCCTCACTTGTCTCCTCCTCCAGTTCCTGAGCCCCAGCCTGCAAGGGAGGCAGCGGTGTGTGCAACCCACAGTCAACACCACGGGGCCTGGGCAGGCTCTCACAGCACCTGGAGGCACCAGCCTGATGGCGCCTGGCCAGGCAGGCTCCTGACGCACATGTTTCTGTCCTCAGTCTGCCGGAGCTGCCTGGTCAGGTACCTGGAGGAGAATAACACCTGCCCCACCTGCAGGATCGTCATCCACCAGAGCCACCCACTGCAGTACATTGGGTAAGCCGCCCTGCCTGGGGGCCGCCCTGCCTCTGGCCGCACAGAGCTCACAGGGGATCTGAGCACTGCAGGCCTCCCTGCAACCCCAGGAGTGCCCTTGGTCACCAAGAGGGTCCTGTCTGTTGCTATTGGAAGTGTCCGTGAGTGGCTAGGATACAAGGAGACAGTGCATTAACTCAGGTCCCGTGAAGCTCTGCTGTGTGGAAAGCCTGTGAGAATTAGGAGTGACCTCTCTGGCTAACCCACCTGTCCTCTCTCTGCAGTCATGACAGGACCATGCAGGACATTGTTTACAAGCTGGTTCCCGGCCTGCAGGAAGGTAAGTGTCAGGGCGTCCTCTCGTGGCCTCTGAGCGCCTCTCTGCATGGCGGGCTGTTGGGACAAGAGGCCCCTTGGTCTGGCAGAACCGCCATGTCTGTCCCTGCCCTGAACTCCCTGGCATCTCACGGTTGGTCCCGTCCATCGTCTCTCCCTCGTCTGTGCCTTCATCCGGGAAGCCCTGGTGTGGGCATCACGCAGCCAGCGCTGTCTGGGCCATGGGGGCACAGCAGGCACGGGTGCCAATAAGTGTTACTGTACTTAAAGTCAAATCCCATTGAGAATTAAAGAGAAATGTGTACTACACATCCTGAAAGTGGAAATGGCCATTCTTTTAAAAGCTCTGTGCAGTTGTGACGCTGAGACCGTCGCTGTCCTTGCTGGGGGAGGAGGGTCCGAGCTCTGTTCCATGTGGGTGGTGGGCTGGCAGGTGCTGGCTGGTGATGAAACAAGGGTGCTCTCTCCAAGACGAGGCTTGTTAAGAATCTGTGTTTTTCATCGTTAAATTTCAGGAGAGGGTTATAACTTAAAATACAGCTACTGCGTTAGATCGGTGATATCTGGCCTTTAATACGTAACTCGGGATAATACTGTTACAGTCCTTCCCAGTCACAGAATTCATCCAGACAGGAACTGAACTTTCCCGAGTGAATGCAGATAGAAGCAGTCATCTTTTTATAAGTGTTTAGTCCAGGTAACCAGCAAACAGTCATCAGAATAAAACACCGATACCTTAAGAAGTTGCTATAGAGTATTTTACACATACAACAGTAGGCAGATAGTCACAGCAAGAACACGTATCTGCCCGGAGCTGGGGACCACTCGTAGGCTCTAGGAACCACAGTTCTAGTTTAGTTCCTTTCATAGCAGCTTCCAAACTTTCATCATCATCTGTGTTCTTCATGTGATATTTGTGAACAGAGCCTTAATATAACTCATTGCTTACTTAAGATTAAAAGTTATTATTAATTTTTAATAGCGGAAATGAGAAAACAGAGGGAATTCTACCACAAATTGGGCATGGAGGTGCCTGGAGACATCAAGGGGGAGACTGGTTCTGCAAAACAGCACTCGGATCCCCATCGGAATGGTGAGGAGCGATGGGTTTGCTGTCAGGCCTGTACCTAAAGAGCTTCCTGTCTGTCCCCTGACCACTGTCCCCGTCCCCTGTCCCTCTCCCCTGTCCCGTGTTCCCCGTCCCCTACCCCCTGTGCTCTCCCCACCGCACCCCTCCCCCCAGCATTTTGTATTGTGGTGTAATAACCTTTGTGAATGTCTGAGATGGTGGTTGTCCTCGCGGGGTTGGGGACACGAGAGATGGCAGAGTAACATTTGGCTTTCATGTACAGTGAATGGTATTTTACATCTCTACATAGCATAACAAATTATTAAAATTTTTGATGCCATGACATTTTTCTGCAGACCATATAAATTCCCAAGGAACTTGAGGCCTTCTGTGCATTTTTTACCAGCTGAGGAGAAAGGGTGGCCCTGCTGTCACCTGCCGCCACCTCTGCTGGCATCACTGGGCCCTGGGAGGGGGTTGGGACACTGCTGGGGAACCCAGGAGTCTGCCCCAGCCTGTCAGCCGCGGTGCATCTTCATTCTAAGAGTGGTGTTGAGCAGTCCCACTGTGGGCGCCATGTGGACTGGATGTGGAGGTGATGAGTGTTGAGTAGTGTTGGGGTGGCTGGAGCCGCCATGTGGCCCCTTCCACCATTGGGTCACCACCTTCTGTGCCCCTCCCCCAAAGGCTGCATGCAGACCCCGCTTCTGGGCCCTGACTCATCTGACAGACACTGCCCACTGCTCTGACCTGCGCTTTTGGTGCAAATCTTATTACACTGGTTTCTATAGCATTTCAAGTAACTGTAGAGTTAAAAGTGACAGTTTAACACTTCGGGTTTAATAATACAGTATTTCTCTTTTTGCTAAAAGGTGAAACCAAAGCAGACGAGAGCTCCAACAAGGAGACAGCAGAGGAAAAGCAGGAGGAGGACAGTGACTACCACCGGAGCGACGAGCAGGTCCGTGCCCTGTGCTTCCTAAGTCCACAGAGAGACGCTGCAGCTGCCGTGGACGCTTTCTCAGTTAAAAAAGAGGAAGGTGCCCTGGCCAGCGTGGCTCAGCAGTTAGAGCTTCGACCTGCACACCGAAGGGTTGAGGGCTCCACTCCCCGTCAGGGGTGCATACCTTGGTCACAGGTTCGATCCCCGGCCCCAGGGGGTGGGGCAGTGTGTTAGGGGAGGCTGATCTCCTCAGGAAATGTCCAGAAGGTCCTGAACCTTTGCCCGTCTGTCCGCTGCAGGTTTCCTTTCTCTTCTCTTTTGGATTCTTTTGCTTCCTGAGTTTGAGGACTTATATCTCCCCTCGTCCTAGGGAGACGCTTAGGCTCCATCCGGGGAACTCTGCCTGTCCCGCCTGCTCTCCGTTTTCCTCGGCCTCGTCTTCCATGCTTGTTGGACCCTCTGGCCTCTTCCCGTCATTTCAGTGTCTTAGTAGCTGCCTCGAGTCAGTCTGTCAGAGAGTGACCTGCCTTTAGCTGAGGTCAACCCCTGGTTTAGCATCCACTGAGCTTTCATTAAGTAAATACTTTTTTTTACTTTAGACGTTGCACTGGGTACTCTTTCATATTCCTTGCTCTCTGTTCCTAGTGTGTTACAATCTTTAATCCATTCTGTCCTGTCCCTAGTAGTTTTAGACATACACAGACTTCAGTTAGTTCACTGTTAATTCTTTCATCTGAATTTGGGGGTGTGATTGGTCCACTTTTTGTGGCAGCTTCGGGAGAGTTTTGTGGTCATGAGCTAGTGTCTCAGGCGGGGCTTTCTCAGCACTTTGCGTGGCCCAGGCGCCCCTTCTCAGAGGACTCCCAGGACCCTGAACCACTCCCTTAGTCTCTTATCCTGTGGTTCCTTGTCGCCCACTATGTGCTCTGACCCCTCTGCCCTGCTGGTGATCCAGAAGGAAACCTGAACCACAGATGACCCAAAGCTCTCTTCTCTCCTTTTGTGGCCAACATGACACCCCTCCCTACACGACAGTTCTGTACTGTGCCTGCGGAGCTGTGGGCCTGTCCTCGTGCCGGGGGCCTGTCCTGCCTGCACAGCCCATGGGTGGATGCCCGTGCAGAAGTCTTTAGAACAGGGCTCTGGCCTTTGTGTTAAACTCAGAGACCAGCATGGAGCCTGCAGTGAACAAACTGTTCTTAGGTTCGCTTTAAAGTACTGCTGAGGAGACAGAATTGAGTGTTAGATCACTGTGTGTAAAATGGTCTTTAAGCTCCCTTTCCTACAGGGGTAGGAGGATGTTGAGGTCTTAGATTTAGGGGTTTGTGGAGCCTAGCTGTGTCCTCCCTCCCGCAGGTGAGCATCTGCCTGGAGTGCAACAGCAGCAAGCTGCGGGGCCTGAAGCGCAAGTGGATTCGCTGCTCCGCCCAGGCCACTGTCCTGCACCTGAAGAAGTTCATTGCCAAGAAGCTGAACCTCTCGTCTTTCAACGAGGTAGCCCCACTAGTGGGACCGTAACAAGTCGTTTCGTACTTGTGAAAGGGGTGCTTCTGAGTTGGGGGATTGTTTTTTCTTTACTTTTTTTCCAACTTTCTCTGGAGAGTTTAAATAAGAAAAAAATCTCAATTTGTTTTGCCTGCCCCCAGATAGGATAACAGGAAATAGTGAGGATGGTGTGTGGCGTAGGACCAGGAACGGGGGATCCACCTTGAATAGAAGAGAATGCAGAGGGAGGGAGAGTGATGAGACAGATTGTTAACATGGTTACAGATTTGATTTCAACAATGACTGAAGGGGGATGACTGGATAGGTAGGTAGATAAAATACTTCCCCGTTGTGATAAATGCTGAGAACGAAATAAAGCCTAGTGACTCAGCAGTGCTCAGTGGGGCTGGTGGTGGAGGGTCGGGGAGCCCGCTAGCTAGGGAGTCACTGGGGAGCCCTCCTAGATGTAAATTGTTGGCAGGAGCCAGCTGTGCATGAGTAGTGTAAGGAGAGGACATTGAGGGCCTTAGGCTTGGGACACATGGCTTGAGCTGTAGTTTGGGGTACAGAAGTGGAAGCCAGAGAGGCCAGTTGGGGGGTGTCTGTGGCAGGAGCATCAGGGGAGATGTGCCATGGTGGTAAGAAGTCAGCGGACTGAAGGTGTGTTTTAGAGAGAACAGTGGGTTTAACAGTGGCCCCAACCAACCTATGGACACATCCTAACCCCAGAACCTGTAAATGTAACCTTTTTTGGGGAAAGGATCTTTTCTGATGTAATTAAGGGTCTTGAGGTGAAATAATCCTGGATTTTCTGATGGACCCTAAATCCAATTACAAGTATCCTTACAAGAGTAAAGCAGGAAGAAATCTGAGGAACACAGAGGATATGTGAGGACAGAGACGGAGGCTGGAGTGATGCAGCCACAAGCCGGGGGCTCCGGGAGCCACCAGAGCTGGAAGGGGCAGAAAGGACCCCTGCCCTCCAGAGCCTCCAGAGTAAGCTCTGCCTGCTGGCACCTTGGTTTTGGACTCCTGGTCTCCACATCAGTGAGAGAGTAAATTTCAGTTGTTTAAGCCACCAGGCTTGCTGTACTTTGTCAGGTGCCACAGGAAACCAAAATAGACTTTGTGCCAGGAAGTAGATTTGCTGCTTAACAAATACCAGAAACTGTGGGTGTGGCTTTGGAGTTGGAGAAGAAGTAGAGGAGAAAAGAATTTTGAGAAACATAATTTTAAAAGCCTACATCCCTTTGAGGGGGACTGTTGGTCAGAATATGGTCCTTAAAGTTGAATCTGGTGATGGCCCAGAAGGAAGTGAGGAGCCCTGGAGAGAGCTTCTTAGACGGTACGCATCCTATGGGCAGAATGTTGGTGGAAACAGGAATATTGCAGACACTTCTGTGAGCGCTCAGAAGGAAAAGAGTGTGGCCCTGGAAACAGGGAGAGATGTGGCCCTGTTTCACAGTGGCAGAAACGTGGCTGGACTGTGTTCTACAGTGTCTGGAAGACAGAACTTGGCAGTGATGACCTTGGATAATTAGCTGAGGAGATTTCCAAGCAGAGAGTTGAAAGTGTGGTCTAGTTCCTTCTACTTAAAATATGAGAGGAGAGAGATGAATCCAGAAAGGAACTACTAAGCAAAAACAAACTAGCACTTGATAATCTTGGAAATCCACAGCCTATCCAGATGGCAAAACAAGGGTGGTATTAGGAATGCCACTGTCAGGAAAGTGCTCTGGAGAGAAGGCCAAGGGTGTGGCTGAACAGCCTTTTGCTGAAGAAGTTAGTTATGTGACTCAGTAGCTCAGCCATCTGGGAGTGGAGAGGAGTCATCCAGGAGAGATCTGTGCAGCATCTTTCTATCTGATGGCCTGGGTCCGTGACATACATGGGAGACCCACAGAGCTTATGAGGATATTGTATCAGCAGAAATACCACCAACTCAGACTAAGGGGAACAGAGACAGAAAGAAATGAAAGAAGTCTCACACTTCCAAATTCTACGTGCAGAATATAAGCGGATAGAGCTCTTCAGTGCAAACATGAGCTGCCCTTCAAGAAAGAGGAGGAGGGCTCCAAGGGTAGAGCTTTGGGCCCAGAGGGCCGAACCTCAGCCCACAGGAGTGTGCTGTCTTGCAGCCTCATGGAGTTTCCCTGCTGGTTTTCAGACTTGCTCGAGACCAGCCACCCTCTGTACTTTCTAATACATCTCCCCTTTGGGATAGGAATATCTGTCCTTTGCCCATTCCACCCTTGCATTCAGGGAGCAGATGACATATCTCTAGGCTCACAGGTCCACAGCTGGGAAGGAGCTCTGCCCAAGAGGGATCATAGCAGACTCTCACCACGCCAGGTCGATAGGATTCAGAAGATAATATCTGGGATGTAGAGCAGCAGGTCACCTCCAGTGGCAGCTGGCCCAGCTGCTTCCTCAATGCTAATATCTGGATGGGACTTTGGAGTTGATGCTGGAATCCGGTGAAACTCTTGGGGATGTTGTGGTGGGGTGAATATATTTTGCATGTGGATGGATGTGGGTTTGGGGGGCCAGAAGGCTGGCTGCACTAGGTTGAATGGTGACCCCACTGACAGATATGTCCATCTCCTGACCCCAGAACATGGAATCATGACTGTGTGTGACACTGGATGTGTGTTAGGAATCTGTAAATGAAGTGATCATCCTGAATCATCCAGGGGGTGCCCTCAGTCCAGTGGCGGGTCTCATAAGAGAAGGGCAGACTCCAATTGTCTCAATAGGTGTTAAAAGGTAGGTGTTATACAAAGTGCCTTCTCTGGCCACAGCAATCGGAGTTAGAAATCAGTAATGAAAGGGAGACTGCAAAGTCCACAAAATTGTGGAAATGAAACAACACATTTTTAAACAACTAGCGGATCAAGCAAGAAATTAGAAATTAAGAGAATCGGAAATGAGAACACAACATACCAAGACGTGTGGGATGCAGTGAAAATGGTGCTAAGGGGATTCATACCTGTAAACAGTTAAATTTAAAACAAGAAAGCCCTCAAATCAACAACCTAAACTTAACAACTGAAGGAACTAGAAGAGGAACAAGCTAAACCCAAAGCCAGCAGAAGGCTTCGAAGACATGGCAGAGATAAACAAATAGAGATAGAAGTTGACTCAGTTCTAGCTAGAATGGACTAAAAAAAAGAAAAGGTACTAAAATCAGAAATCAAAATGGGGACATTCCTCCTGATCCTAGAGAAATGAAAAGGGTTTTAAGAGAATACTGTGACCGTCTGTACAGCAGCAAAGTGGATGAGCCAGATGAATGCGCAAACTCCTAGGAACACAGAACTTAACCAAGACCGAACCCCGAGCAAACAGAAAACCTGAGTAGTCCTGTAACTAGTTCAGGTGTCGGATCCTTAATCAGAAATCTCCCAATGAGGAAGACCCTGGTCCTGATGGCTTCACTGGTAAATTCTGCTGAACTTGTAAGAGGAGCCAATACTTACCCTTCTTAAACTGCTCCAGAAGATTGAAGAGAAGGAACACCTCCCGACTCCTGTGAGGCCAGTAGTACCCCAATACCAAAGCCAGACACAGACACTACAAGAAAAGACAGCTGCAGAGCAGTGTCCCTCGTGAACACTGAGGCGAAACTCAGCAAAATGCTAGCAGACAGGGTTCATCAGCATGTTAAAAGGGTTGTACACCAGGACCACGTGGGACTTGTTCCTGAATGCAAGGGGGTTCAACACGACAGTAAGTGTAGTTTGTCACATCTGTGGGATGAAGGGAGAACAGGGTCATCCCAATTGGTGCAGAAAAGGTAGTCGACAGAACTCAGCAGCCTTTGCGGTAACACCCAGCTGGGAGGAGAAGCCATGTATGAAAAGCCCACAAGCATCGTGCTGAGTGCTGGAGACCGAACGCTTTTTCCTAAGATCAGGAACAAATGAGGAGTCCACACGTACCCTCTCTCAGCACAGCCCTGGAAGCCCTGCCCAGCACAGTGAGGGAGAAACGCCCCATTCAGGCGGAGAGGAAGGGTTAAAAATATCTGTCTGCAGATGACAGGGCCATCTATCTAGAAAACCCTGAACGTTCCTCACAAAAATACCTGTTAGAACTAACACGTGAGCTCAGCAAGTCAGCAGAATACAGATCAGAAAACCCAGCCTGGAAAGGAGCTGACAAAGCTTCACTTAGAGCAGCGTCAGAGGGAACGCTCAGGAGCTAACTACGGAGGCGGGTGATGGCAGTGGAGCTACGAAAGCTGCCGAAAGACACTGAAGACACAAGTAAATGGGAACTTTTCCCTAATTCAAGTGTCAGTAGACGTCATGTTGTTACGATGCAAGTTCTGCCCGAACCGAACTAGACTCAGCACAGTCCCTACCCAAACCCCACTGTCTTTTCTGCAGAAATGAAAAAACACATTTTAAATCTCAAGGGACCCAGAGAGCCAAAACAATCGTGAAGAAGAACAAATCTGTCCCTGGCCAGGTGGCTCAGTGGGTTAGAGCATTGTCTGTGCACCAAAAGGTGGTATCAGTACCCAGTCAGGGCACAGACCTGGGTTGTGGGTTCGATCCCCAGTCGGGGTGTGTACAGGAGACAGCCAATTGATGTTTCTCACGTCGATGTTTCTTTCCCTTCCTCTCTCTCTAAAAAATGATAAAATCATATCCTCTGGTGAGGGTTAAAAAAACCAAACCTGGAGCACTCACACATCCTGATTTCAAAACTAACCACAAAGCACAGTAACCAAAACATGTAGACCAGGGAATAGAACCTTAGAGATGCCGGGCTGCGTGAAGGAAGCCAGACACAGACAGTGCTGCCTGAGCTCCCTTGATGAGGTCCTTGATTGTGAAAGTCCCGGAGGCAGAAAGTAGGTGGCGGATGCCAGGGGCTTGACAGGAGTGAGTGTTCAATGGAGAGAGTTCTAGTTTGTCGACCATAAGCAAAACTCAGCTAGGTGTCCTGTCTCCAAAAACGATTAACTCGGGAAAGGAGAGCCTTGCCCTCCAGCCCCTGCCGGTGGTGAGCGCTGCACTCATCATACACGGAGCAGCGGGAAGCCCCTCTGTCCGGAACGTGTTTCCCGCCATCAGCTGTGAGGGGGAAGCAGCAGGACCCAGGCACTCAGCGTCCTGGAGTCATCTCAGAGGGCGAGAACTCATGAGCCCAGAGGGCGTGGGCCTGAGATGTGAAAGGACCGACGGCAGTGCCTTTGGCCAAGGTGCTTGGGGGTCTCTGTAAATTTTGCCAGGTACATCTTTGTTTGATATTTTCCCTTATTCTCACCTGAGGATATTTTTCCCATTGATTTTTTTAGAGAGAGTGGAAGGGAAGAAGGTGGGGAGAGGGAGCGAGAGGAACATCAGTGTGAGAGAGACATTGTTCGGCTGCCTCCTGCACGCCCCTGCCTGGGATTGAGCCTTAACTTGGGTATGTGCCCTGACCCAGAATCCAACTGGCAACACTTCGGTGCGCAGGATGATGCCCAGTCAACTGAGACACACTGGCCAGGTCACACAGGTCACTCTCATTCTGTTTCTACTGAACCGAGGAGCCACTCAGCTCCTCAGCTTCCCAAAGTCATGAGCTCCTCCAAGGCTTGTCACCGTCAGTGTGAAGGTTGGCAGTCGTGCCCTAGGTCACAGTGCAGCCCAAGGAGAGCCTACGATTGAGCCCCTGGGTGACAGCCCAAGTAAAAGTGCTGCCAGACTTCCAGAGGGGTTACCATAGCCCTCCCAGCATGGTACTCACCTCTCTCTCTTTTTAAATACGAACCACTGTAAACCAAGAAATCTGCCCGGCCCAAGGCGTCGCCAGGTCAAGAGCTCCTGTCCATGACACACAGTTGTGAGCTGCTGAGGGGCTGTTCTGGCAGCCTCAGTCCTCGGCTCTCCCCTTGGGGAGAGATTCCAGCAGGACCCGTCTGGAGGCTCATCCTCATTGACCAGTGGGAAGGGGAGCTGAGGGGAACGGGTGGGCACCTCTCCAAGGGCCTGAATCGGGGTCGGAGCCAGGAGCCGGGGGATCGATTTGAACCCCCTCTTGTGGAGCTGCCTGCCAGGGGCTGAACTCCGGAGTGTGGCTCTGGTGCGGTAAGGACACCATCGGTCCCAGGCTGGAGAAGGGTTTCTGCAGCTGACTGAGGGAGGGCGGGGAAAGCCCTGAGCATCTCAGGCCCTCTCTGGGGACGGGACCTTGGAAAGCTGGTAAGATGCCGAGGCCCTGAAGTGCTTATCTCAGCGACAGTGTCCTTTCCAGTCCTGGCTCTTTATATAACAGCCCCAGCAAAGAGCCTCCATTTGCTGGAACTGAAAATTGAAAACCTCAGGAGTCTCACTTCTCGGTGGTTCACTGAGGCTGCAAGCCCTTGGATTTGCCAAGTTAACCAAGCCTTGGAACAGTCTGGTTCCAGACAAAATTGGACCAGCGGCCAGCACCATTGCCATGGAAACAACTTGGTTCGGACAGACTGGCAGAAAGCCAGTGCAGCCCCACACAGCAGCCTGCTCCCCACCAGAGCCAGCCAGGTGCCACCCAAGCTCCTGAACAAATGGCCTTTTAACAACAACAACAACAAAAACGCCTCTCAACGGTTCCCAGATAAAGCGGGGAGCTTCAGAGCACAGAAGCAGACACTCGGTTCCCAGAGACTGCCGGCTCTGACAAGGCGGCAGACGGGGTCCTGCAGCTCCAGGCGCCACCCCGTTGTCCCCAGCCCACGTCAGCGGTTCTCTGCATGCCGACGAGCCCCCAAGTCAACCACCGACAAGTCCACCAGGCTCCCTCACCAAAAGGATTCATCCAGGGGAAAGGAAGGGCTGTGGTGGGTGGGTGCCCACACCTGAGCCCACCGGGGGGCCGTACAGCAGCAGCCACTGCAGGCAGCTGCCCCTCAGGTGTGGGCACCCACCCACCACAGCCCTTCCTGGAGGTGGCAGGTGGCGAGACCTCTTCCCTCACATGCTGCCTTCTGTCTGGGTGAAGGTCTGTCATACATTTTAACAAGTTTTACAGAATAGAAGAGTTGATGGAGAATGCTGGGGATGGCTGTGCAGCATGACTGACCGTCCTCAGTGCTGCTGAGCTGTCCCCATAACAGGTTACAATGATTTCCATCTGTATTGTACCACAACTAAAAATATACAGTAAATAGCGGAGCATGGCGGAAGGGGGACACGGAGCCTTTTTACAAACTGAGGGCAAGACCCTCCATCGGCAAAAGTATTGCCTCTCCTCTGTTGCGCTGGACCCACAAGCAGTAGCTCCGAGGCCTGTCTGCCGTCCTGGGCGCCATCTCCCTGGGTGGCTGGCCGCTCTCAGACTCGGCCCCTCTTCAGACCCTTGCCCTCGGGAGATGTTTAAAAGACCATCTGCATGACATCATGTCACGTCAGAGAGAGGCGGACTGAATGAGCTTCATCCTGCACCTCCCGGAACGGACCGAATCCAGACGCTAACAGCCCCACATGCTGGCGGGATGTGGAGCAGCGGGAACTTTACTCGGTGCTGGTGGGGTGTGAGGTGGCGCAATTTGAGGGTTTCTTACAAAACTAAACACACTCTTACCATACAATCTAGCAGTCGGGCTCCTTGGTAAATGCCCAAGTGAGTTAAAAACTTAGGTCCACACAAAAACCTGCTCATGGATTTTTGTAGCAGTTTTATTCATAATTGTCAGCACCTAGAGGCAACCAAGGTGCCCCCAGTAGGTGATGGGTAAACTCACTGTGGTCCATCCAGACGGCAGAGCACCATTCAGCTGTCGAGCTGTGAAAAGACACGCATGTGACTCAGTGACAGAAGCCGCTCTGAGAAAGCCGCACACTGTGATTCCAGCCGTGACGTCCCGGAAAAGGCAAAACTACGGAGACTGGAAATATTGGTGGTTGCAGGGGTCCGAGGGGGGAGGCGTGCATGGGCAGAGCACAGAGGGTTTGGGGCAGGGACGCACCTCCGAGGGACGCTGGTGGTGCTCTGTGCAAACCCATGGAGTGCACAGCGCCAGGGGCGACCCTGCCGAGCACTGTGGGCTCGGTAAGTGTCAGACAGTGTGGGCTCAGTGGCTGCAACAAGTGTCTCGGGGTGTTGGTAGTGGGGGAGCTGGCGGGGACGATGGGTTCATGGGAAATATCTGAACCTTCTGCTCAGTTTTTCTGTGAACCTAAAACTGCTCTAAAAATAATCTTTTTTTAAAAAAAGGAAAAGGGTTGGGAGCCCATTACTTTTTCCCACTGAGGTGAGAGAGACAAACTTGGCTAACGGGTGGACCGAGGCTGGGGGACGGTGCTGGGGGTGAGGGCAGCCTGGGGGCTGTCGCCGTGGTGTGGACCGAGCCACTGCTCTGACATGGGGGCTTCCTCCACCTGCGCAGCCAGAGCGAGGCACCTGGCCTGTCGGCGCTGGTGCAGGTGCAGGTGAGGCCGCTGGCTGAGAGCCCAGCCCTCGGCCGCACTGACCAGAGCTTCCTCTCCCGCCAGCTGGACATTTTATGCAACGAGGAAATCCTGGGCAAGGACCACACGCTCAAGTTTGTGGTTGTCACGAGGTGGAGATTCAAGGTGAGACGCGTCTCTGTAAGGGTGTGTTTTATTTTCAGAATCTGCTGCGATGGGGCCCTTCTGGCAGGTTTCCTTTGTCCTCAGCTAAGGGTGTGTCCATTGGTTCCCTTAGAGAGAGGAGGGGAACCTCGATGTAAGAGGACCAGTGACCTGTTGCCCCCCACACGCGCCCCAGCGGGACGGAGCCCACCACCTCTTGGTGCAGGGGGGACACGCCAACCACCTGGGCCACCGTCAGGGCTCCCCATTTCTGTCTAGGTTTAGGAATCAGGATTCAGGCACAGGGTCGCTGTGAAACACAGTGAGTTTGAAATCAGCCCCAGAGCTGCCTCCCACTGTCCCCTCCTGGTGGCAGTGACACCGTGGCCAGGGACCCTGAGCTGGGGCAGGCGCGTCTGCTGCCTGGGGCAGCCTCCAGCTTCGAGTGTCCCTGTGTGGAGGTGGGTGCGATGGGTGGGGGGGACCACGGGCTCCGAGGTCTGAGGCAGGTGCAGGAGCCGCCCGCCCTCCTGACTGGCGCCCAGCACCCAGCGCAGCATCGCTCTGTCTCGCTGAACCATCCGTGTGGCCGTCCTCCCGCGGCCTGTCTTACAGAAGGCGCCGCTCCTGCTGCACTACAGACCCAAGATGGACCTGCTGTGACACCACCCACGCGCCCGGGGCGTGAGCAGGCGCAGGACCTCGGTGCCGGTGGGTGGGCCCCGGCGCCCTGGGACCAGACTTCTGAATAGAGGATATTTATCACTTTTGTACGAGAGAGTCATGCTCAGCCAGACACTACCAGCAGCGCGGTGACCAGGCAGCGACACTTCACAGGCTCGCGTCCCTCTGCCTCACAGTCCTGAGAACACGCGGTGCGTCCCTCCACAGCCTCGCCTGCTCTCCAGGTCTTCAGAATCTCAGTCGTTTCGGTTTAGTTTATGAATTAGGCCTCATGGTAAGCCTCAGAAATACGTGTACGTTCACGGAATCCTTACTAAGTTATGGAAAAACACCCTTTCATGGTGAATGACGATGACATTGCCTTTAGCTTCCTGAAGACTCAGAAGATCTATAAAAATTTAATTTAAAAGCAAACCAAGCGAGGTTGCCATTCATAGTATGTGTTAACATGGTGTTTGAGGTCCCGCTGTGAAACCTGAGGAAGCCACGGCTCCCTCCCCATGCTTGGGTGCAAACGCACACTTGGGCCTGACGCGGGCCTGCAGGACAGTCCTGTTAAAAGTCACTTTTGTGAAATAGGGCACCGTTGTTCAGGGCCACCGCTTCATCTCCTAGCCACTACTCCCCTTTTTCACTTTGCTGAGAGGGAGCTGGTGGCCTGCGGGGAGTTGCAGACACCACATCTGTCCACCCATTAAAGGGTGTTGCACCCGGTGTTCATGGGGAGGTCTCACGAGCGTCGGGACAGGCTGCAGGCACCCGGGACAGTGACCCTGGGCCAAGGTGGCTCCTTCAGTTACTCCAGGACCTGGCACCAGCCACAGGCAACGCTCACTTTCTAGCCCTTTCTCCTCCCAAATGTTAGTATTTTTGTGAAATTAGAGAGTAAACATTTTGCCAGCACACAAACATGTTTCCTTTAAAATAGTCCCCTTGGACCGTGTGACAACGAGATCCAGGAAAAAGACGCATTTCCCGAGGTTACCGTGTTGTCCTGGAGCTGGGGTCACCGGTCACGCTCGCATTCCCCACTGCCTCCTTGGTGACCTTTGCACTCCTCCCTGCACCATCACCTGTCCGTCAGGCCCGAGGGGTCCTGGGGCCATAGGACTGGGTTTTCCATGAAGTGTTTCACTGCAGGGATGAGAACTTTTTCTCCAGTTGGCTCCAGAAGTTCGGGCCGGGCTCATGGACCTGCTCCTGTTCCATGTATGGAAATGTCAGAAGCAGCTACTAATGAGCCATAATTGCCGAGAAAAACATTCTAGTTAATTCTGTCCAAGTGATTTTAATAAGGCCTTTTAAAAGCATCAAAACAGGTTGTTAGGAATTGGTCAAAATTCACTCTTTGTTTCAGCCCCGTAGCCCCCAGTTCTGTCCGGAGTGTCCAGTGACCTAAGCTTATGTCCATCCAAATTGTTCCTACTTGCTCTCCGAGGTTTAGAGTAGGTGTGTGTGAGTAAATATGACCTGTCTACCTCAAAACGCACATTACTGCTGGCGCCTCTGTAAACATAAGGACCACGGTGTGGTCTCCACGCGGCGTGAGATGTAGGGGTTCCCGTGGGGTGGGGTGAGGGCTGAGCAGAGTGAGTGTCCAAATTCCAACAAAACGGTTCCAGCTCAGACTCGCCGAGAGCTCTGTGACTGTCTCCTGGTGTGCATCTGCAACTTTGTAGCTCTCTTTGAAATCACTTGAATTTGCTATGGTGCTAAGTTGATACACTTAAATACACAGAAAGGGGGAGGTGGGTCAGGCACGTCCACGCCACTGCCCGACCACTCCGGTGCGATCCTGCTTCTGTAGCCACGGTGGCCTGGTGGGACCTCAGCAGCAGAAGTACCTATTTTTCTAAGATTTCCTCGTGCAGACAGCTCACGCAGGACGGTCCCCGCGACCTGCCTCTGGTCTGACTGCAGCCTCGTCAGGATGCAGGGCCCGCGGCGGAGGGACGCGTGGGCCCCGTTAACTCTACATCAGAGGCCGAAGTTCGTTTTCCCAGCGTGACGGTCAGGGGCACTAGAGACGGGTCCCGTCGGCTTTTGACAGTGGAGTTACTGTGAGGTCGTTTCACGTGAGGTGGTGTGGCCTGCGCACCCTTGGGCCGCCATGGGACTCAGTGCGGCTTTCACAAAAACAGAAAATTCAGAGAGAATATATAATATGGAGTTTAAGATTTGGGGGGTTAAAAAAGAAAAGTTAACTTTATAAAATTATTTATTCTATTTTAAGCCTTCTATCCTATTTTCCCACCCAGCGTTTGGTTCTGTGGCCCCGCTTTATTTACAGGCATATAAGATGAAATTGAGGTGTCCGCAAGCTTCCCCTTACTTTCGGTAGTTTTATCCTGTGTGTTTTGTTTATGCGGATGAAGGACGTCGTTCATGCTGTTCATGCTTCTGTGCAATAGGCTCCACGCGTGCCGTCGGGCGTCCAGGTGTCAGTGCGTCTCGCTACATGGAAAGGGTGCGGGTGGAATTTCAGCATCTGTACACCACGCTGTTTGGTTTCCTCCCCCGTTGGGGCGAGGGTGCTGTTCTTGGGGCTGTGCTTGTGCTTGTCAGCAGTGTGTGTGGATCAGTGGCCTGGCAGGTAGCCGAGAGGGGACCTGCGGTGGCGTCCTAGACCAGCCACCTGCGCCGTGGGCTGTGGCCTCTGACCCCACGTGCTCAGGCCCTGGGCACCACCCCATGTTGACGGCGGGTGATGGAGACACGTTCCCAGGCCCCAGGCCCTCAGGGCCCCTTGTTAGGCGTCCGTGGCAACCATCCCATTTCTCAGAGCACACAGCAGGTTACCCCACTGGTTTGAAGAGTGTCATTGGGTCAAATGTTCCAGGAACAAGCCAGCTGATTTCTATGCTATCATCAATATTTGATGTGCTCTCAAAACATGGAAAATAACTTCAGTGCAGATAACAAAACCAATTTCTCTATTTCCTCAGGAACCCACGTGCTCCCCATGCAGCACCTGTGCCCTTAGCCCGGTAAAGTGTGTCTCTGCCTTGGCTAGAAGTAGATGGAGGGAGTTGGGATAAGTAGATGAGAAGACGCTCAGGCCACCCTGTGGCCGGTAGACTGTGCCTGCCAGGCAGGGAGTACAGCCACGTGTCCCCAGGTGTCAGGGTGTCCCCCTGAAGTGTGCACATGTCTGTTGCAACAACGTATTGGGTGTAAGAAAACCACATTTTCCCAGATGGTGTAGGGTTTGGGCGGAGCTCGCCGCTAAGCCTGACGTCCCGTGTGGCGATGTGGACACTGCCGTGGGTTATGGGGATGACAATGCAGACACATATTTTGACTGTTTAATTTGAAAGTTTACATTTTTTATGCTTTGTGTTGGTGTGTAATTTTTGTACTATTGGTGGCTAGTTTTTGTCTAAAATCTTTTTTGGAATATTGCTTAAATGTTTTGATTTTATGACAGTGAAGCTTGTATTCAGTGTTTTGCCAATTAATATTATATGCTTGTAATAAAAGCAAAAGAAAAACTTAACTAAATTTCTCTCAGGCTGGAAGTTTATCATCTAAAATATCTGTAAAAACCTAAGGTTGTCAAGAGAAACCAGATTGTGCGCATCTGTCCTGGGCCCTCCCAGGTTCACACCTTGTCCACATGGTTCCACGTGGCACTTGTGTCACCTTGGATGCAGAGCATCATTTAAATTGGTCCCCGTGTGTGTTGCCGAGTTTGGTGGGAACTGTGGTCAAGTCCCTGTGGCTCGAGGGAGCCACATGTGCCTGTGACAGTGGCTCTGAGCCTGCTGAGCCCTGAGTGTGGGTGGGCGGGCAAAGCGTGCTTCCCTCTGCAGGCAGTCAGACCTTCAGGAGGTGAGACACACGTGCAGAGATCTGTCTGCACAGCTCGACCTAAGGAGTTTGCTCACAAGATATGGAGGCTGAGAAGTCCAGGAGGGCCAGGGCCGAGAAGAACGCATCCAGCCCAGGCGTCAGACAGGCGGCGTTCTCTGACTCAGCGTTTTTATTCTGCTGGGGCCCTGGAGGGGTTGAGGGGCTCCCGCCCGCATTGGGGAGGACTCAGACTCAAGTGCTCACCTCATCCAGAGCAGCCCCGCGCACCCAGAATAGCTTTAATCTGGGAATCCCAGGACCCAGTCAAGTTCACACATGAAATTAACCATCACAGACCATTTGGGGGGCGAGGGGTAAGGCATTATGCTCAAAACCATAATTTTTTTAAATGATTTTTTTTCTATTACAGTTGATATACAATGTTATATTAGTTTCAAGTGTACAACCCAGTAACCAGACATGTACGTAACTTATGAAGTGATTACCCCTGAAAAGGTCAGTCCCCACCTGGCACCTTTCGTAGCTATTCCAGGATCACTGACTGTGTTCCCTGCACTGTGCTTCTCATCCCTGTGACGGTTCTGCAACCACCAATCTGTACTTCTAGTCCCTTCACCTTTCTTACCAGCCACTAACCCCCCTCCCATCTGGCAACATCAAAATGTTCTCTGTATCTATGAGCTTGTTTCTGTTCATTTGCTTTTAGATTTCACATATAAGTGAAATCATAGGGTATCTGTCTTTCGCTGTCTTATTTTACTCAGCACAATACTCCTAAATCCATCCATGCTGCTGCAGATGCAAGGTTTCTCTCCCTTTCGTGGCTGAGTCATGTCCGTGTGTGCCTGCGCCACTTTGTCCGTTTGTCTGTGGAGGACACTTAGGTTGCTTCCGTATCTTGGCTGCTATAAATGCTGCAGTGAACATATGGGTGCACGTGTCTTTTTTAATTAGTGTTTTAAGTTTCTTCAGGTAAATACCCAGAAGTGAAGTTGCTAGGCCCCTCTTTGTCTCTTGATATAAACTCTGCTTTGTCTGGTATAAGTATTGCCACCCCAGCTTCTTTTGTTTGTTTACATTTTCATGAAATTGAGTCATTTTCTGACAGTTGAATTTTGAGAGTTCTACATATACTCTGCACACACACCCCCAAGTTGGGCCTGTGGTCTGTGTTTCCCCCTGTCTGTAGCTTGTGTTTTCATTCTTTTGGCACTGTCTTCAGCAGAGCAGGTGTTTTAACTTTGATAAAGTCCAGTTTATCATATTTTTCTTCATATGTTATGCTTTGGGTGTAAACTCTGCCAAATGCCAGGTCACAGAGATGTTTTTCTGCCCAATCAGTGTTGCTCAGTGGTTGAGCATCGACCCATCAACCTGGTGATGGCGATTCAATTCCCAGTCAGGGCACATGCCCCAGGGTTATAGGCTTAATCCCCTGTCGGGGACGTGTAGGAGGCAGCTGATCAATGGCTCTCTCTCATCTTGATGTTTCTATCTCTCTCTCCCTCTCCCTTTTTCTCTCTTTAATCAATAAAAACATTTAAATTTTTTTATTTTAAAAAAAGCCTGTCTTAGTGCATAATACATTTTTTTAAAAACAACTAGCAATAGGCGATTGGAATTTGAAATTTAAAGCACATTTGCATTAGTACCAGAGAGAACCAAAATACACAGGTATAAGTCTCACAAAACCTATAAGAGGAAAACTAAAACTCTGATGGATAAAAGAAAACTAAATAAATGGAAAGATATCCCATGTGCGTGGACAGGAAGGCTCGATATGGTCAAGATGTCGGTTCTTCCCAGTGTGACCCATGGGTTAAATGTAGCCCCAGTCAAAACCCCAGCAACTTATTTTGTGGATACCAACAAGCTGGTTTTAAACTTTACATGGTGGCAAAAGACCCAGAACAGGCAACACCGTGTGAAGGATCAGGACGAAGCCGGAGGACTGACGGGCACTGCCTGGCTCCCAGACTTACTGTGAAGGTGCAGTGATGAAGGCTGTGGTGCTGGAAAAAGAACAACAGCTCAGGGACACAGGACAGAGAGACCAGAGAGAGACCCCGCAGATCAGTTAGCTGATCTTGGACGAAGGGGCAAAGACAGTCTTCTCCACAAATGGTGCTGCAGCAACGGGACGCCACAGGCAGAAAAGTGAATCTGGACACAGACCTCACACCCTCACAAAATCAACCCCAAATGGTTATTTATAGACTTAAATGTAAAGTGCAAAACTATAAAATTCCTAAAAGATATCTGGAGAAAATCTAGATGACCTTGGCTTTGGTAATGAATTCTTAGATACAACACCAAAGTGTGAAAGAAAACTGGTAAGTTCGACTTCATTAAAGTTAAAAAGTTCTGCTCTGGGAAAGACACTGTTAAGAGAATGAAAAGACAAGCTCAGACTGGCAGAAAATATTTGCAAATCACTGATATCTAATAAAGGACTGTTATCCAAAATATATAAAGAGCTCTTAAAACTCAACAATAAGAAATCAACTCAATTAAAATATGTGCAAAAGACCTGAACAGACCTGAATCTCACCAAAGAAGATGCACAGATGGCAAATAGCCTATGAATAAATGCTCAAAATCACGTTAGAGTGTTTCAAGTTATAACAATGAGAACCTGTCAGAATGTCCACAATCCGTAACACTGACTACAACAAGTGCCGGTGGGGACTTAGAGCAGCAAGAACTCACTCAGTGCTGGTGGGGCCAAATTGGAAGGCAGTGTGACTGTTTTATTACAAAACTAAACATACACTTACCATACACTGGAGCAATCACACTCCTTAGTATTTATCCAAATAACTTACATCCACACAAACTTTTCACTTATGTTTAGAACAGCTTTATTCATAGTTATGAAAACCTTGGAAACAAAACAAGCTGCCCTCTGCAGGTGAATGGACTGTGTTACATCCAGACAATGGAATATTATTCAGCAGTTTAAAAAGATACGAGCTATCAAGCCATGAAAAGGTGTGGAGGAACATTACATGCACATGACTAAGTGGCAGAAGCTGATCTGAGAAGGCCGTACACTGCGATTCCAGCTATAGGACATCCTGCAAGAACTAAGAATTCAATAAAGAGAGCAATGTTTGGAGGATTTGGAAGGAGGGATGAACAGGTGGAGAACAGGATTTTAGGGCAGTGAAACTGGTCTGTATGACACAATATCATGGATCCATGTCATACATTTGTGCAATCCATAGAATGTGCAAGAAAAAGAATGAGCTCTAAACTATGAACTTTAGTTAGTAATGTATCAATGTTGGTTCACAATTTTTAAAATGTAGCGCACTAATGCAACATTTAATAGAAACTGAAGGGGGATGGAGGGGTCTAATGGGAATGTTGTGTACTTTACACTCAAGTTTTCTGTGAACCTAAAACTGCTCAAAAAATAAAGTCTATTAATTTTTTAAAAAGACAACCATCCCACTATTTAAACCAATAAAAGATTCGAACTGAGACTCCTCAGAGGAAGATGTACAGTGGCCACAAACACTGGAAAAAGTATCACCAGTCGTCACAGGGACACGCAAACAAGCCTAGATGAGCTTTCACTGCAAACCCACCAGAACAACTGAAACTTTGTAGACTTTATGGCCCGAATCTTCGCTTCCCCCAAAATGCATATGTTGAAGTCTGAGGAGGTGGGGCCTTTGGGAGGTGGTTAGGTCATGAATGGGACTAGTGTCCTTATAAACGAGACCCCAGGGAGTCCCTCATCCTTTGGACCTTGTGAGGACACAGCAAGGAGATGCCATCCATGAACCAGGAAGGGGCCTCACTGGGCACAGAATCGGCCGGCATCTTGATCGCAGATGTCCGCCTCCAGACTGTGAGAAATAAATGCCTGCTGTTTAAGCCCCCAGCCTGTGGTATTTTTACTAAAGCAGCCTGAAAGGACTGAGACAGAGACTAACACCAAGCAGTGCTGAGGGCGTTTTGTTTCTTCTTCATGTGTTGCTGCTATGAACACTTTGGAAAAGTTTGGCAGTTTCTTCTAAAGTGAAACATACACTATGCAGGACCCAGCGATGCCACCTAAGGACCCAGTGATGCCACTCACCTGAGAGATGGAAGCAAATGTCCATGAGAAGATGTGCAGCCCCCCTCCCCCATTTCAGCCCCTGCCTGGACCCCGCTGTCCAGAATCGGTTCCCGCGGTGACAGTGTGGTGAGGTTTTACCCTCCCCCCCACTTCTGAGTCCGCTTTGCTTTTTCTTCTGCATAGGGCAGGAGCACTGCTGGGCTTTTTTAAAAATCCTCACCTGAGGATTTTTTCTCCATTGCTTTTCAGAGAGAGTGGAAGGGGGAGAGAGGGAGAAACATTGATGAGAGAGACACGTTGGTGGGTTGCCTCCCGCACACTCCCCGACCGGGAAGGGACCGAGGCTCTAACCGAGGTGCTCTTGGCTGGGATGGGACCCGGGACCCTTCAGTCCACAAGACGATGCTCTAACCACTGAGCAACACTGGCCAGGGCACTGCTAGGCTTTTGCTAACTCTGCTCCCCTTCATGGCCTGAGAGCGTGGCAGGGGCTGGGCAGAGCTCTGCTGGGCCTGGGCGTCATCCTCAACTGCCAGGCACCTGTCACTGGCAGGCAGAGCAGGACGCCTCTGTCCCTCCCCATGTCACTGTCTCCCTGAGCAGCTCCCACC